CTCGAAAACGTAATTTTGTTTCAATCGAATACAGTGTTGAAAACGATAAAAGTAAAATATGCATTAGCTACTATTGTTGTGTGTGCGTTTACATAGGGTATATTATTGTATATTAGGTTCTATTTGAATGACGAATATCGAGTTTTATTATTTACATGGGCAGATTCGTGCAAGGCGTATAGTGTGCTTGTTGCCAGAAAAGACAATTATTATCGGATAATCTGATTAGAAATCACGATCCGGGATGCAGTTTGAAATTATGTTAATTTTACGATTAACGGCGAGGGATTAAAAAACGAAAAACAAACGAAACCATCAAAAACACATAATAATACACAATAATATTTCTTTCATCAAAATACCAATTATCCTAAACAACATATTATGAATTTATTTATTTTTAAATACATATTGTATTAAGTAGTATGTATTTAAATAAAAAAATATATTGAATAGAAGATTTACAATATATAACTATACACGTCAATTATCTTGACGTTATCTCTTGGACGTCATATTGTATTGTTCATGAATACTAATTGTAATATTATAATACTCCATTATGTAGGTATACATTTATTTGTCAGGTTGAGGTAACGTACAAGGAAACACATATACGACTTTTAGTGATCCAAATTCCCGTGAACCTTCCCAGAGGTACGTGCCTATATTATATTATACAATATATTATATTGGACAGGGACGGCGCTATGGTAGGGCAAGTGGGACATTTGTCCAGGGTCTCGCGCTGTTGAAAAAATTATCAAGGCTTCGCGTTTGACTCCAATAAAGACATTTAAAAGTAAATTTGTAATACAAAAATATAGCAAATATATTGGCTTCAGAAATAGATATCCTGGTTATTTTTAAGCGTCGTTGTATAAGAAAAAAAAAAAGATGTTTAGTTATGAACATAACGATGAACCAATTTTAAATGAGGAAGATCGTTTTCGTATTGATTATTTTATAGTTGTTGTTAATCAATCAATATAATCTATTAATAAACGGTTTGAACAGTTAGAATCATATTCGAATAACTTTGGATTTTTGTATCAAATAGGTAAAGTAAAAACTATGGAAAAGGATGAGCTACAAAAATATTGTAAAGATTTACATTTAGTATTATCCGATGGTGATCTGAATGATTTGAAAGGATTTGACTTATATTCAGAACTACTTATTTTTCGCATGATGATTAATGACAATACAACTCCACTTAAAGCACTTAGTATTTTAAAAAAGACGAATGGTTCATCTCCTAACATATCTATTGCTTTAAGAATCATGTTAACGATACCAGTTACATCAGCTTGTGCCAAAAGAAGTTTTTTGAAACTTAAATTAATCAAAACGTTCCTGCGAAATAAATTAAATCAAGATAAACTTCAGACTTTGCACTTATACATATTGAACAAGAAATATCTAACAACATTGACTACCAAAATCCTTTAGAAACTTTAGCTTCAAAAAAATCAAGAAAAAAATGTTTTTAGTAATATTCAATACCAAGAGGCCAAGTATTAAGTATACTGGAATAAAATTTACAAATATAATATTCAAGTGTTCGTAATATTATTATTTTTATTATTATTATTATTATTATTAAATCGACAAAAGTTTTTTAAAAGACTTCTTATTAATTTTTTTTTTACACAATCCCTCCTATGACAAAGATTAAAAAAATTTTAATATAGGGCCTCGTAATAGTGTATTGTTCAAGGCCTCGCAAACCCTAGCGCCATCTCTGATATTGTATTATGTACGAGTTGATTGTTTAATCAATTTTGATAATGTGATATTTTTGAAAATGTAATTAATATTGTTAATTATTTTTACCACCAAAATACTTTGAATCTCTTTCCTCTCCAAGGATATATTATATAAAATGTTCGCTTTTATTATACTTAATCAATTAAATTTAATGTGGTTTACTGGCTAATTTTTTAAAAATTATTGTCATGTTATTACTTAATGTTCTTTTACTTGGTTTTTTAAGACGAATTTATAATAATACTATCAATGTGGAAAATCGTTATGTAATATTGTTGAAGTATGGTTCACAATTCCAGATTTTCAATTTTCTTATTTACCCAGAATCCGAATTTTTAAGAAACCCAATATTCTGTTAAAACTTTTTTTTTGGTTAAAGTTGCCTTAGAAATTCTACGATAAGCTACGTTAATGCAGATTCGCCATATAAAACTTTGTACAGAACCTATAAATAAAGTGTACTTTTTTCGAGAAAAACGTTATATGTATTGTATAATAAACTTTTAATCTTACATTTTCAACTCTTTTCAACTTTTTCTTCCTGATATGTCATTGAACTATCTATCTCACTTCACATTTTTAACATTATCATTATTTTGATTTTGTCGTCAAGGAAACGGTTGTTACGGTCATAATTCATGAGCGACGTATTTATTGCAATTCATATAGTTTTTTTTAGTATTTTATATTTATCATTCAAAGTTTTTTGTTACCTGGAAATTATGAGAGAAGGAAACTGTGAAAATGGTGGCAAGTTAAATATCTTACAACAATTATTTGATTGTCGGCAATAATCAATACTCAATACTGTTATTCAATTTTTACTTTGAGAAATTGATATTTAAACTATAGGTTAGGATATCCTTCGGAAAATGGAAAGTTGATCTTGTTTAAGTATACATGGGTAAAAAAAATAAAAATAATTGATTGTTTTAAAAATATAAAAAACTCGAATTAAAACTTTCAATTATATCACCTGGCCGATACAAAACAGCCATTCCGCACGTGTAGGGCTTATTATCATTTATTATCAGCTGGATATCGCTGTTGTCGCTGTGAATTTTCTGTAATAACAGTCGGTGTACCTACCTACACCGCGTTACACCGTGGCGCACATGTACGCTGGAAAATATTTAAAATATGGCGTTGTGCACGATCGTTGACCCTTCCGCAGACGAAAAAAAAAATCAAATTACGCGGTGGCACCCTCCACGATGCCGCCATTCGACCCTTTTGCAAAATAATAACGAAAAAATAAAAACTCTTCTCGCTGTTGCGGGCTGCATGCGATCCGGTCTACCACCCCTTGTGCGCTTAAAATATGGGGTTCGCGTCGGCCGAGGCGAGCGTAGCGTGGAGAAAAAAATAATGAGAAAAACGATTGTGTCGCGGTTTCGATCGTGAATAACGAAGGGCGGGAGAGGAGAAAAGAAAGAATAAAAAAAAAAAAGGAAAAAATTAAAAGACCCAAGTCTCCGTTCGCGCATTGTAAACACACGATCGGAAAACGGGTACGGCGCGCGGGGATAGAGAGATCTATCGATTCGGAAAGCCTTCCGGTAGAACAGGACGGATGCGCGGGGGCAAGACGCTTTTTCGTTTCACCTGAACTTACGCGCGAAAAGGAGGGGATGGAAAGCGTACAGTGGTCTCGTCATGGCCAGAACCGGGTCCGTTTCAGATCTGACGCGCGCTTGTACATGATGGACGGACGGGAAGACGAATTCGCACGACGAGTCGCGGCCGCCGTGGGTCGCCCGACTTCGTCGACGGTCAGCGACTCGGTAACTGGTGTTGATGCTGCTGCTGCTGCTGCTGCTACGGCTGAAGCCACCGCCGCCCCCGCTGATTGTCGCTCCGGCCGCTGATGCTGCTGATGTCGCGGCGGCAACCGGTGCGTGCAGTAGCGGCGTTATTGCACGCCGCCGGTGTTACGATTACCGCGGGCGGAGGCGGCTGCGGCGACGCTCATCACGCCGTCTGCAGCACCATGCTGAGCGTGCCGCACGCCTTCAGCTCGGTAAAGATTTCGGTGAAGTACGCGGGCTCGGCGTTGATGCGCAACATCTTGGCCGACATGGTGTGCACGATGCCCAGGCACCGGTCCCAGAACGCATCCCGGCTGTCCTCCACCAGGAACGGCTTCAGCGGGTACGATATCTCGTTGCCCATGTACGAGTACGC